TGGCCATTTGAATTTTTCTGGGTATGTGAAGGAAGATTTGTATTGCTGTGACAGATGCCGGTTAATAGAGCATTCTGGATGGTAGTGCCGGATAACACAGCTTTTACTGTAATTGTTTTACAGGGACTTTTGCAAGGTGGAATAGGACTCTGCTTGGGCACCTAAGTATAATGCCTTAGAGGTGAAATGGGACTTGGATGTTAGGTGCTACACTCTGTCTTTTGTAAGGACTTATCCACCCAGGAAAGTTATTAGCTAGGATGTGAAGTCACTATGCACTCTAATTACTCTCCTTGTGTTCAAGAATCCTGAGTGAAAGGTACACACAGACTGGAGCGAGATCTCTCACAGAGACACTCTTAATGCACATTAAGAGAACATCCAGAGGGGAGTTAAGGGAGAACAGATGATGCGCTACATGTCCACATACTAGCATATGATGCTGTCACTTCTTCAAATTTCTGTGACTTTATTCTGAGGTATTCAAGATGCACAAAAGCTAATTTGATTGCAAAACCACGTAAGCTTGACAGGCCAAAGTGCACTAGCACACATGTTTAAGAAATGCAGGGCTAGAATGGGAACCAAAATTACCTACCATTTAAATAGACTGTTTCAAAATGACATCTCTTTAAATAGACAAACGCATTCTTCAAAATAGAGCATGCAAGCCTTCATACCCAAGTCAGAAAGCAAAAGTCCCTCCACCACAGACTAGAATGCTTTTTTACAGTATGTTTCAAACTAAACCATGACAAACCCCCTCACAGCTAATTACAAACTGCAAAAATAATTCTGTTTCCTTCCGACTGCACTTCCTGCAGTAGGTAGACAACAATATATCCTCACAGCAGCACTTGCAGACAGAAGGTCCAGCATTGCTTGCATTATAGTCAAGAGCAAAAAACTCCCTTTGGGGAAACAGTATTAGGCCATAGGAAAGGGAGGGGTATAAAGACCTGCAGGCCAAGTTACAGGAACAGTTATTAAACCTGGCTTGGGATAATCACATGGTCTGAGGCCCCTTCCCTTTCAGAGATGCATCTCTCTGACTGTTAGACACATTACTTATCTCCATTATAAATCTGAATAATGAAATTCTATATGCAGTGTTATATTTCATGAAACAAAGAGGTGAAAAGCAGACAAAGCAAGGCCTGCGCCAAAGATGCAGCTGCTTCCTGAACATGACTACCAACGATTTCCTGAATACCTACCACAAAAACCACAGCAAACTCCCTGAAGAGATGAACCTGCACTGTGCTCGCAGCAAGGCCTGCTTAGATATGTTAAAAGACGTGGTAGCTATTATTACAGTAATCTGCTACCACAAATCATTTTCTGAATTCTTCAGGTCAGAAAAACAACATTCATAGACTTCTCTTTCCATTCCCAAATGACACCCAGCAAGAAATACCATAAGAAAACTTTCATTGCCCTGTAGACTTGGACTGAGAACTGTTGCTTTCTTCTGGTAGAACTGTTTGCAACTGGCATCAAAGACCAGCTCTGCTTAAAGCTACCAAGAATTTTACAGCAGCTTCAAAGACCGTAGGATTGGGCCCCCACGTGTTTACCCATATGCAGAGAAAAGAGTGCACCATAAACTTTCTCTAACTTTACAAAGCAATATGTGAGATTAACAGAATCATGTGGAAGACTTCTTTTATACTTTATATAGTATATAGTAAAGGACAGACAAATACTGAGAAGTCTCTTCTCAGACAGTTGCATCACAGGTCCCATGTTATACTGTCTCAGTGTTTTTCTACCCACACTTATGCTGAACAGTTTCATAGAGAGGCTCAAAATTAAGGAGATGGATAACCTCAGCACCCAAGCACCAAATTTGCCCTGTTTAACAAGTAAAATGGATGGTATTTCTAATTAACAGCTCTGGCTACTCAGCTTGACACTCAGGATCTCAATGTCAAATCCAGTGCATCAACCCCATAAGCAAGGATTCTGCAGACCAAACGCCGTCACAGTTACATCCCCATTAGTGTCTGCTGCACTCTCCAACTGGATGCCATCTGTGGAATGACAGCAGAATTGTCCTCTAACCTGAAACTTAAAACCAATTCTATTATCTCAGTAGTCATAAAAGAAATGTAATGCTCTCTCCTAGCACTGGAGTGGGGGGGAAGGCAGTGCCACTGAAATAGACCTGTAGACGTAGACGTACACCCCTGTGAGATGGTAACTTGCTTTGCAGAGTCATTTTTCTGAACATCAGCCAAATAGAAATCACACTTTCTTTCAACTGCTTTGACACTTAAAAAAAGGTGCAGCTTACGATGGTATTAATGCGCACAACACACTACTAGTCACCTCCCATCTCCCTTGTAGTGCTGGAGTTCAGAACAACCTTCATTACATTACAAAAATGACTACCTATAAAAAAAAAAAAAAAGTACATCTCTGAACACAGACTTTTGCATTCCCAGAGCATTAAAAGATATAGCTATGTTGGCATCTCAGTATTAAATATTTCACTTGTTGAGAATGCAGGTAACTAAGAATTTTAAAAACTTACTGTGGCAAGTGATTTTTTTCCAAAATGCACCAAAAATATAGCATGGTCATATTCATTCCCTATCCTCGGTTTTTACTGCTTTGTTATTAAAGCAACAATATGCTTTCTGCTCAGAAGGTGCTCCCCACAGGGCTTAACAGCCCACACCCTAGATCCTCTATTCCCCAAAGAGTCATCTTTTTAACTGAGTAGGGTAACAAATAGCCTGCCTCAGTAACCAAACAAAACAATCCAGCATTGCCAACTCGCACAATTTTATTGAAAGTCTCTGGCTATTTGGTATTTTTTAATAAAACCCAGTGTCTCAGCTTTCATTTAAAAAGTTTCATGGTGCCATGGTAGCAGAGAAAAGCTGGAAGACATGAAACCTAAAATGCCATAAAGGCAAATAAAAGAACCACAAATTTAATTTCTGGGGGGCTGACAATTTTGGAATGTGCCTGACAATTTTGTGCCTGACAGTTTAGCCCTCAATTTTCTCCCAGCAGGATAAACACCCAGTAGGGGTGGGGTGTTTCAGGTGAATTCTACCAGCCTGTTCCTAATATACAGGAAAGCACTTGTTTTTGCAATATTACAGACATTATTTTACATATATAAAATGCAGGCCCCATTTTTCAAAGGCTTCCATCTTCTCCTGCATTTGGCTTGTTTCAGTTATTCAGGGCAACCCAGGCTGATAATTACACAGTCCCAAGTTGCTGAGTAAAACTGATGCTTAATTAGCCAGCAGGAAAGATCGATTAAGATACAGCAGGGCATCTTGCAAAGTTCTTCAGAGGGACAGTAGGGAATAGAATCTGGCTGTGCCCTTCCGAAGGATAAAATTCTTTGCTTTTCAGGGACTTGGCTGCAGTTTTATTTAAACTGGATGCTTAGACCAGTCAGCCACCATGAGTTTTATTATCAGATCTTAACTCCCCAAGTGCCATGGATCACATCTTAAAAAGATATGATTATCAGTGAATTCTGGATCATATCTCCAATGGAAGAGCACAGACTGAAGTTAATGTCCACAGCTTCATCTGTTCAAGACTCTCACATGCTGTGCGCCATGCATAACATTGGGAAGGAAAGTTTTCTAGCTAGAAAGTCAGCATAACTCACATTTGTTTAAACACTGGACTCAAATGAAGTAATCCATACTTTGGTCCTGTACTAAACTCATGGACCCAATAAAACAGCACCCTCAAAATTCTGGGAGTAGGGCATTTTGGAATAGAAATTCATACCTGAAACTTAACACTGAAAATGGCTCCCTATTTCAATGGTAGATCAAAGTGCACACTTCCAAAAATACACCCTGTTAGTAACAGCGTGGCAGGGCAGGCCTCTAGGCTCACTATCCCAACATGGTATTTAGAAGGGTAAATTTTCCACATGGTGAATATTCACTCACATGCCTGTTTGCAAAATCTTCCAGTAAAGAATAATATTCATTTTATTACTTGTTTCTGACAACACCTGTGCCATAGGATCTGCACACGCACACAAAAAAAGGCATGATCCCTACCCCACAGAGCTTAAAATGGAAAAAAAAATATTTGACAGGAAGGATTCCACTCATGTGCCATTTTGCACAGATCCAGAGGGGGTGCAGTGGTCCAACCTCACACCCTCCTGTACTGACCACCTGGCAGGAACAGTAGCCTGGGACTTCTTTCAGTCCAAATCAGGTAATAATTTACCCACCTCCCTTTCCCTCTGTGCCCAGAGGCACCCCCCGCCCCCACCTGAGTGTTCCCCACCAGTCCTGGAGCAGGCAAGGGAAACCTACTAGCCCACCACCATCCCAGGCCAACCCCAAGCCCCACACAGCCCAGCTGGAACAGGACAGGAAATCCCCTTGCCTACAGGACAGCACCCAACATCAGGGATACTAAGAACAACAGAGAAGGGAGAAGGGGAATGAGAGGAGAAGAGAGGGGACATGCCTCTGAGCATGGAGGAAAAAAGATGGGGGAAAAGCTACCTTCTTCAGGACTTAAAGCTTCCAGCTGCTCCCGGGGCACAGTCTGCCTGCCCCATTGGGAAGGAAGGAGGCAGCTGGGAGAAGGGGCTACAGCCACCCCTGCCTCACTGGTCACTGCTCCTGCATCCCCATTTACAAAATCCTGGATCCACTTCTGGTTCCATGTACCATACGTCAGTGTAACAGCACTGTGTACAATACTGCACACATCCACTGGTTTGTGTCACTGCTGCAGAGAACATGCATGCCTGAATTCGAAATAAAATCTTTTAGGCAAAGTCACTCTTGCACCCCCCACCCTGCTTTTTTTGCTGCTCACATGCTCATTTATCCAATGGCACTTTTGAGAATGCCACCCAAATGCAACTGCTAAATCTGTTCAATGAGATGGGGTGCCAAGACCTGCAGTTCTGCTGGTGTGGACCTAGAATCCCAGCAATGCTGCCTCCAGAGGAACTGCTCCCATCAGAACTTAGAGCAGAAATTACAAACCTGGCTTTGATATGCTGGAAGTTGAAAAGAATCATCTCTCTCTCTTCTCTTGCTCTAGCGCTCAGGTTCTCATTCTGCAGCCCATTCATCAGGTAAACTTCAGCATCTGCAAAGAGAACTATATCAGTCAAAAAACTAGATGGGGTAGGGCAATAATTAGATGAGGAAGCAAAAACTTGTTTCCAAATAAGAAACACATACATGATGGAGTAGAGGGAGAGTTTAGGACCATGATATTGAATAACGCAAGTGAAAGGCAGAATAAGTCTGAAGATTTTTCAGCTGGAAAAATTAGACAAGTATTTAAAATAACCAGAGATAAAAAAAAAAAACAAATTGCACAAATAATGCCAATGAGAAAGGTTAAAAGTCAAGAAGAAACAGTGAAGAAGTCACTCAAGCAAAAGCAGTGGGGAAGGACAAACAAAATTAGACAAAACTTAGCATAAAAGACAAAGTCAAAAAGTGAAACTGGGTGTGAGGGTGGTAGGGGAAAAGAGGGAAGGAGTACAATGAAAATAAATGAACAGAAGAAAAAGCAGAGAGAGGTAATAGAAAACTTTAGTATGATGCTGAATACAAATGCTTTTTACCCATAAAGTGGGTAATTCCATCTCCCCAGAGGGGCAAAATGCCTTTTGACTGCAGCAGATAAAGAGTGGTTCCAAAGCTGGAAGCACATGAACAAGAGCATTTTTGTGCTCACTTGAGTGAAGAGAGTCCCAAGCCCCCCCACTGATGTTGGTGATGCCAGACACTTGGGTGCCAGGTGGGAAAAAAAGAGTGTTTTTCAACATTAAATAAAAAAGCAGTAGATGCCATGCTGTCCACATCAAGATCCAAAACTCAATATGGGATATTCACCTACATGTATGGGAAATAAGACAAACCCCAGGTTTTTTATTCTGAACAAAACTTATCTTTATGAAGAGACAGCACTCAACAACGCATTACTTATGGTTCAGTTCAATATGCATTTGTATTGCAGTGTGGGATCCTCAATGTTTATTGGTGCAATACAAGATAAACCATGTCTTTAATGTACTCAATAAGGGAAGGCGGGGGTGGGGGGATTAGACACAGAGTAAATATGGTTTAAAAGAAGGGATGATGGGTTACTAAGGTTGTCTGGGTAGATGCATTTCTATGATCAAATAAACTGCTTCATGTGAAATACTAGTACTGTATACCTTCCAAACTGCATGCGCTTGTCTTAATCGAGCCAGACTGAGCGTCCTGAAAAATACTCTCAAATAGAAATTACCCTGGAAAGTAATTCATTCCCACTGTTTTGCTATTTGTCGAAAGATATCTTATTTGTATAGATATCTGTGCTCCTTTTTGAAGAACTGTAAAGCAGTTGTTCAGAGACTGAGAATCTAATTCCATTCTCACTTATACCAGCATAAGGCCATACATTTCAAAAGGGTGTGACAGCTAGTTTATACTGGTAGAGGAGAAACTGGAAGCAAAGCCAGTGCTGTGCGCGCACAGGCCTGCCCAAGATGGAACATACCCCTAACTGTGACACTAATGAGAGTTTAATATCCTGCTTGCAAGACTTCCAAAGCTTTATGCTTCTGCTGCATGTAAGTTAGCCAAAAAGAAAGTACTGTCTTTAGTACACTCTAGGAGTTCTCACAGCTTTTTTAAACCCACCTCCTCCACCTGCAAGTACATAGCACACTTTCAAGATCAAAATGGCACAGGAGGAATATCCTTTTCTGTCTAACTCATCAACCTTAATTTCCTTCTACCACCTGCTCCATGACACACAAGAAGGCACACTAAAAGAATGCTGAAGTTATAATAGCATTTTAAAATGGAAATCACGGGCCAGGGTGAATCAGCATGCTATGCATCAAAGTCTGGAGGAAGAATAGCACAGCTAGGAACTCTGAGTGTGTACTAACAGTCAAAAGACCAAGTTTCTATTCTTACCTATCCCATGAAGCTACAAGCAAGCAGAACTCTGAAAACAACAATTAAATAATTAACACCAAGTTCACACAGCTTTTTGTTTCCGAAACAAGCCCTTGTTCCTGGGTTGTGTTTATTGAAACCTTCAATTTTCATACACCTAAGGTGATACTGAACTCAAGTTAATAAATAAGCATGAGCCAAACTCAGATTGGCCAGCTCATTTCTCCTCATTTACTGTCATTGTCTCCTCTCTTCCCACTTCCAAGGAGCAACTCCTTCTAAGCACAAAGCTTAACAAAATCCACCTGCTCTCTCTGCTTTCCTGGTAGGAGCTCAGCTGCCCTCCTTTGTCCCACAATTAGAGCAAACAGAAGCAGCTGTGCCTTGTTAACCCCTGACTGGGGCAGCTCTGCAATATCTAAGTTGTACAGGTTTAAGTGCCAAAGTGTCTGACCACACCAGGCTTCACGCATACCCTCAGGACACCACGGTGTTTTTATCCCACTGCGGAGGCAGGAACCGAGGCACAGAGTGAGTAAGAGCTTGATACATGAGACTGACTTAGGCACCACACTGCTGAGCACTGCAGTGCCCTGCTGCCTAGTGAGACACTGGCTTCTATGAATCCCATTCTTAAGCACCTGATTCTCCTCATGTATTGTATAAGAGGAGCCTGGGTGCTAATTCGGGGATATAAAATGAGCAAGGAACCACCTATGCTAACCTGCCAAAGAGTGGGACAGAGCCTAAGCCCAGACATCAGAAAATAGCTGATCACCATTGTTAAAGACTCAGCTGTGACTCTCCCTGGAGTCCAGTGCCTACTCAAGCTCAGCCCTTTCTTCCTGCACAAGAAACCAACACATTCACTATTGCCATTTTTGCTGTACTAATTCCACCAGTTAGAGCAGTGGGGGCCAACCTTTTTGGCACCACAACGCCCTATACCCATCCCAAGGGCCACTCCAGTCCCTTTTCTTTACCCAATCTGATTTCTCCTTCCTACCCTATGTTCCCTGCCTGATCCGATGCTCTACTTTTTTCCTCCCAGCCATATCTGTCACTTTGCTGCCTGTCCCCTCCCCCATCTGCCACGTGCCACACACAGAAGCTACCCATGGTACTTGTGGCACCTGTGCCACAGGTTGGCCACCCCTGGGTTAAAGCACTTGCTTCAGATGTGAGAGACAGGTTCAAATCCCTTCCCCTATCCACTGAACCCAGACCACCCGCCTGCCAAGCGAGTGCTCTAACCACAAAGCTATACAGGCAGACAGAAGTGGCAATTTCAGTCTATTCTGAAATTGATCCATTTTTAAATAAAATATTTGAATATTCGCCCAGGACAAAGAGCAAGTGATTACACAGTCTGGTGCTTAAAGCACTCACCTAGGAGACTTGGGTTCCAAATTCAGCAAATATTTAATATTAAGATGTTCCACTCTGGATTAAATTAATTATTCACTGAAGCATGGTCTGGAACCCAACTCTCCCAAGTTAGTGCCTTAACCACCAAGCTATAGATTCTCTCTCCCTAGGCTAATGAATATTCAAGTATTTCATACCAAGTGGAATAGTTTCAACAGAAGAGATGTTGAAAAGCAGCACTGTAAGAGGGGCTGCTCTGGGGGCCTGGGTGGGAGACTGCACCAGCTTAGTGTGCTTGGAAGCCAAATTGTCTTGCTGGCTTCCTCACTGTGTGTGGTGAGTCCAGAGCTGTATATTGTGCCTGGGATTGATTTCTGGTGGAAGCCAAAGTTCATCTCAGAATATTCTTCATCCCAGTGGCTAGGGTGTTTTCCTGGAGGTAGAAGATTTGGAGTCTAAATATTGCTCCAAATAAGGCAGAACAGATTTGAACCCATCTATCCCATATAAGCTGGGAAAGAACCTTACCCACTGTGTAACTGGGCATAAGGTGGTTGGTACCACTACCTACAGCTTCTTGGTTTTATTCTGTGCAAAGCTTCAGTTAGTGGACATTATCAGACCATGCCTTTCAGATCAGGCCCCGCAGGTGGGACAGGTGTGGGAATGCCTAACTGTAAATCGAATCAGGGCTTAGGCATGAGATGGACACACCAGTAGGACCTGTGCAATTGTGCACACACCCAGCAACAGAAATTTGGGCCAGGTGTTTTGTGAATGCCAGCAACACCTCAGCACAGGAGCAGGTACCTCTTTTGGCACATGATCTCCCTACCCCTCAACTTTGTAAATCTAGCCATAGGCAACTTGCCCAAGATTACATGGGAAGTATGTGGCAGAGCAGACCTGCACTCAGACTGACTACTCACCCTTGGACCAACCCACCTCTTTGGGTTTAGTTTGAGAGATGGGGACATAGCACTACTAGCCCATCAGAGGGCCAACAATACCATTTATGCTTCTTGACACAAACCACTTAAAACTGACTTCTGTTAATGCCACTTATGTGCTCCCAAATACCCCTGCACTAAATAACTCACACAATCTAAAGACAAACAAGCAAATGAAAGCTAAGGGACAAAAGCAAGAATGGGGAATTTATGACATACAAGCTTACTTGTTTCTCCATCAGTGGCAAAACAGAAATAGGCCATAAAGGGAGACTTAAGGGAAAAAAATATTTTATGGGCCATATTTCTACAATGAATGAGTAGAGGGAAAGGGGGGGACCCCAAAAAAACACACACACTGAAAAAGCTTGGGCCATCTTAATAAAAATATAAATACATATTTTGTCCCTCCATCATTTTTAAGAGCAGATTAACTCTATGAGTATGTGATTAGCTCTAATATGGTATTTACTTACTCAGATGTCAGTGTGGATCAGCTGCTGGATAAGTTACAATAAAACCACGATCACTTCTGCAAGCTATGCTGAGCCCCCTTTCATAGCCATCTACTATGTTTATAGCACCAGGAAATGAAAAAGAAAGCCCAGCCATAAACTTTCAAAGTAGATCAGGAAGAGCAATATGTAAGCAGGTCTAGAGTAAATCACCCTAATGTTAGTTTTACTGCTTGTCTGTAATATTATATTCTTGATGTTTATAGATTGCTCTCTGCGATCCACTCTGAAAGTTTACAGGACTCTCCTTTTCATTTCCTGCAGCTAAAAAGGTTAAAAAGAAGAAAAAAAAAGTTGAAATTTCATCAAGTGCTTCAGGAGAGTTGGCAAATGTGATCAGAATTACCCACTTCAATCCAGTAGGAGATGCAGTAACATAAAATTATGTCACAACCACTAAAGTCCAGGTAGTAAATAACGTTATAAATGGTGGCACTAAATTCTAGGAACTAATCAGCACTCAGTGAGGGGGATAAAAGGTTTTAAAATACCATATGTGTTATGCAAGCCTCTTGTTCTTTACAACCACTGTTTCTAGCTATCAGAAGGAATAAACAGCAGTTCTGTTTTTGCACTTAAACTTATTCAGAGGCATAGTTTTCCCTCTAAACTTACCTATGCAAGTTCGCACCAGTCCCATTCACATTCTTCAGTTCTAATTTCACCTTGGCCCATTAGTCCCTCCACTCTTGTCCCCACATATCCATACTGAAGGGCAAGACTTGGAGCAGCAAAATAATACATGGACTTCAGAAACCCTAAGGTGGGCAACTGCTGAGTAGTACAGATGCACCAAGCTCTTGCATGATTGCCTTGAAGCCTGCAGGATTTATGTACAGGAAACTACCAAATTTGGGGTGGCTGCCTCCCAATTTCACAGTCCAAACATGGCGCCAGTCGCCACTTTTGTGGCACACCCCCCTCCCCAGGCCTGATTGGTCAAGGGACCCCAGAATTCCCACCCCTCCCCAGCGATTGATAGACAGCCCCTCAGCCAATCAAAGGTGTGTGGGATAGGGCCTGCTGTGCTCTGCTGCAAAAATTCCCCCCCCTGCTTCAGGACACCAGGGTTACCCACTATTTTCTGTTTGCAGCTCCCTGATTTTGTGCTTTTTCACAGTCCCTGTGCTTTTTTGCAGGAAACTACCAATTTTGCAATTTTTGCAAAAATCGCGAAATCATGAATTTGGTATGTCCCTGCTTGTATAGAGATTGGGATAGCCATAGCTCTGGAATGTCATTCCCTCCTCCCTATCCCCACTTCATCTCCCAAGAAGGAACCACAGCCCTAAATCTATATGTTAAAGTAACTTGAGCTTCTCGGTCTTTCTATAAGCTTGTTCCACAGAGAGGATTTAACCATAAGTAAAGACAAGAGGATTTGTCCAAAAAACTTTCATCCAAACCCACAAAAGAAGTGAAATCTAGAATTAAGATATCCTGTTTTCAACTTGCCTTTCTGCAGCACTCTAAATATATAGTCTCACTTGTTATATACTCATGAAGCAGAACAGTCTGACCAAAGCCAGGAACATCCACCTGAATTTTCAGCTTCCAGGCTTTAACCTTAAATTCTCAGACCTTTAAAAGTCCAGGCACCCCCTGAACACTGACCAAGACTTAATCCCTATCAGGGAGGGTGGAGTATTAAAGAGTATTTTTAGAAAGGGACAACAGCAGTAAAGCTGCTTGTCCTGAAATTAGACCCCACCAGCTTTGTTGTGCTATTGCAGGTGTAACGAGAAAAGCATGTTGCACCATCTGGTCTATTTTGCTTGTTGCCCACACTCCTGCAAAGACAGGTTTCTTACAGGTTTCCAAATACCGGCAGCTAACACGAACAAGGAAGCAAGCAAAACAGACTATTATATGGCCATCATTTGCACATCTGGTAAACAAAACAGCATCTCTAGACTGACTATGGGTCAGCCACACTGCTGTGTTCATTGAAAAGATAAAAGAAAAAGGGAGAAACTCTTGGGACAGTAACATTTAAAAAAGGGAGGAGTGGGGGCATAGCTTTTAGAACAATCAACTTCCATGCTATCACATCAATAAAAACATGGGTTCCAAATAGGCACATGCCCACACAATGCTGAACTTTACACATCTAAGGCAACTGACTGCAAGAAAACTACTCACAGGCATAAAATTAAGCACATTCATAAGTGTTTGCAGAATTGGTACCAAGAGAGAACACAAGCAGTAATAGCTTTGAGCCCACATTGGTTGAAAGCCTATTAGGCATGACAATAACAGCACTGTCTTTAACAAGTCATTCACTAGCAGTTCTTTGGGTATTATGAACATACTCCTGGCTAATACAGTGCCATAAAAGACCAAACTTTAATACAAGAAAATGGACATTATTGCCTGAAGAGCAGTACATTCTTGGTATCTCATTTCTGATCATCATTTTAAATAGGTAAGTTCTCCTGATGATGCACTTTGCAAACATGGGAACAACAAAACTCCCTTCTTTCTAGCCTGACTAGCTAGAATCCTCCTTATATATTGACATGCCCATAGACTGTACAGATTGTTAAGACACAGCAAGTTTGATACAGAAGTATGTGACATGCAATTAATCTCCATTCATAGCCTGCTATACTTGTCAGCAAACAAAGGCTCTGCTTTAGAAGGAGATCTGAAGACTTCAATTAAAAACAGTCAGCTAACAAGAAAATAATCTAAGTTAAAGGAAGGCGGCAGGTGTAGAAATGAGTTGTTTACAGAAGTGTCAGCTCTGAACAATAAAGTGCTGCACATCAAAAATGTGAAAGGGTAAACTTCACTGCAACCCCATGATTAAAAAACAGAGGAGGAAATTCACACCTACATCTGGGGGAAGACACAAAGCATTTGAAATTGAGCTCTGACAAGCCTGTACGCTGCACTTCTGGGGAAAAGACACAAAGCATTTGAAATTGAGCTTTGACAAGTCTGTAAGATGCACTTTTTCTCTCAAAGTGACAGATCCCAGTCACTCCACCTCTCAGAATGGGAGAACAATGCTGCTAGCTACCTGATGTCTTCTCAATAGGAAACCAAAGGTGATAAAAGCCTATCAGCAGAATGACCCAGACTCAGGGAGATTCAAAATGGCAAGAAATGAGCAGGAAATTACCCTCTTCTCCATCATTCAGAACAGCAGGATGTATTTATTCACAACACATGTACATGTGAGTCAGTGTGCTGTGAAAAACCACTACACTAACTTCGTAACTCTCCAGCTAACATTTATTTAAAGAGTAGATAAATTAGAGATTATATATAGGAGACTCCATGCCCAACACTTAAATAGCAATGAGCGTGGTAGATGAGCAGTTCGGTGGAGTTAAGGGGTAATACCAGCTCTGTAATCTCCCCTTCTTGTTTGTGTGGATCTTTTCCACAAGGACAGGGGAAAGAAGTATCAAAGATAGCTGTTAATATTGTACAAACCTTCTTGGGGAACCCTGGGCTGTAGGATCTAAAATAAGATATGAACTTGGTTTTTGATTTAAGTAAACTCAGATTTCAAGCTGACAGTGCCCGGTAAGGTACCCAAATAGCCGAAGCAATACGGATAAGGAATCACGACCATTTAACCCAGAAGCAGCCTATTTCTGGGTTTCTATGGGAACTCATTTATGGAGCCTTTCTTTACCCTATTATGGGTCGGGCTAATCAGTGTACATTGGTATAGTGCAGGGAAATCTGTGGATAGAAGGAATTACTATAACTTCAACTCAATCTGACACTCAGTTTTAATAAAGAGAGGGGTAAGGGTTGTTTTAAATTTGCCAAGAAATAAAGTATGGTATGGTATCCTGCAAGCATGTGCCACATGACACAGGTTATGCACCCAACAGGGTCATGAAAACAAGCAGCAAACTAAAGGCAGGTTCATCCATTAGGCTGTTGAGTAGTAAGGGGTCTTAGCAGTAAACCTTTAAACAGAGATAGAGCTTAAAGTTGATGTAGTTTTCAGAGTCTCTGGGGCCTACTTTTTCTGATAGGGTTACTACTTAAGTGGGAATTTGAGCCAACTGGTTCATTGCACCCTCATAATCTGACATGTTGTGTGGTACAACAGTGCTGTTAGAGAGGTGTCTCTAATCTGTAACATGCAGCATCTTATTCAAAAAACAACCCCTACCAAAAAACCCTTTTCTGCCTCACGTGCCTCTGGGCCAGTGCAAGACACCAACACGTTAATCATGCTGCCTAATACTCTGTCTGGAAAGCAATCGGATACTGTCAGAAAAACTCAGTATAAGAACCCATAGAGCGGCAGCAGGCCACACAGGGGTATCTACATGCCACGTCAGAGTAGCCCCATACTACCGATGGCATCACGCTATATGATGTGGCATTGCTGTGCAATGCTGAAACATCTCAGGTACCCTCACTCCCCTACACAAATGGATGGGGGGGGGGGGGGGGGGTGGGGGTGGTGGGCGAAAGGGGGGGGGGGGGGGGGGGGCCTGTATGCAGTGCCACTCAGACAGGGACTCACCCTCAGGCAATGTTAGCATGCCACCTGGACAGGCAGCCATGTTCTCAGCGGAAACAGTGGAATAAGGCCCGCATGCCCTAGAAGCCTAGGGTCCCTCACCTGGCCTGAAGGAGCAGCTTCTGAGCTCCCTGCTCCAAGCTGAGAGATAGAAAAAGCACCCCTAATTTTTGCTCCTACTCAAAAAGCCACTGTAGTAGCTTCCAACCAGAGGCCCTGGGCACTGGGGGGAGGAAGCTGTGGTTACCTTCAAGGAGCCCCTGAATCTCCTCAGGGATGAAGCTGCCCGGTGCCTGCATTGGGAAGGGCAAGGGAAACTGTCCCAAGGTGCAAAAACCTCCTCCTGCTGTCCTTCAGGGGCAGAGACTGAGTGAGAAAGGAAGCAGGGAGGGCCAGTAGGTGGTGAAAAGAGGGGAGGAACTGTTGCAAAAGTACCTCCCCCTCTTCCTCCTCCTTCACTAGTTGATGCTGCTACTTCATGAGCGACACCTAAACTGAGAGCCTCACTGGGAGCCAGGCACTGATCTCTCATTTGTTTTCAGTGTATATTTTACAGGAGTTCAAGGGATGTCACTTCTTAATAAGAGCTAGGTGTGCAACTACCTTTGAGGGGTTATCCAGACTGCACCCTGCAAACACCTGCATAGAGATACCGCAGTAGGAATGCAATTGAAAATTCACTCTCCTCTACCTCAGTGATTCTCAACTAGGGTGCTGGGGCAGCCTGGGGTGGCACGCGATCCCTTCAAGGGTGCCACACAACGTTAGCACAGCTAGGTGTGCAAACACTTAACACATGATTTACAAGATAAACTTTCTGTTTCAAATTGGAGTCCATAGTGTCAAAAAACATTCTGACTTGTTGCAGCCTTTCTGAGTTCTCTGCAACAGAAAAAACTGCCCTGTTTATTTTTCCATAGGCAAAAATGAATGAAAACTAAGAGCTAGCATTTCTCCAAGGGGTACCTCTAGCAAGGTTGAGAACAACTGCTCTACTTTAATGGGGAGAGTCCTAGAGTATATATGCTATACAGCCTTTCAGATCTCCCTGCACCAGTCTCTGTGTGCATATGTAAGCTTGTGACACATTGCTGTTTTGCATCCCAAGCCTATGCTAGGCTCAGAGAAGGCACTATGTTGTATGTATCCTAGACCAACGGTTTTCAACCTGTGGTCCATGGACTGCTGTGGGTCTGCAGACTATGTCGAGGGGGTCCGCGAAAAATGATTATGATCAAGCAAAAGTGTGTGAATACCCACACACAGTTCAAAGGGGTCCACACCTCCATTTGAAATTTTTAGGGGTCTGCAAATTAAAAAAGGGTGAAAACCGCTGTCCTAGAGCAAAGCAGGATCCCCTTCCTGCAGACTACAGGCAGAGAACTGTATTCTGGTGTACTATAAATGCAACTTCCTACATTCTGTAGCAGAAAGGAATTGAATTCTGCTTTCTTGCAATGCATGTACCTATGCCTGGGCCTTGCCTGGAGAAAGAACTAAGTGCATTGCTCCATTATCTCCATTCCTCTAACCCATTTTCTTGACTGCAATAAATACAAACTTTGTATTCCTGCATTCATTTTCAGAGCCCATAACAAAAAGCAGGCATTGAATTTGATTAACACACAATCGTATATCCCCTCATCTGCTATTATATATGAACTGGCCCAAGCTGTCTGTGTGTATACCCTGTCTGAATTATTCCTGAATTTCAGGATGTGTATTGACCGAAGCTGGCAACCCTTCCCTAACTGAATCATGTGTCCTGCTGACTTCACTGAGATGATCCATACAAGGTTAAGCTGCCATAGCGGTGCAGTTTCACATGAGACGATGCAGGTATGTGTCCCACCATAGTGATTTATTTTTTTCTTTTTTTTTTGTGCTAGTTAAACAGAACACAAGCGGCACATTTCTGTTGGGCTCCTGCAAATGGTTAGGCATGAGCTTAACTTTGTTACATTTGGGGCGATTCCTGGTTGAAAAGTTAAGCACCTATCTAAATGGTTATAATATTAGCATCTTAGTGCTTGATAGGTGCATCATGTAGGAGGAAGGACATTGCAATGTGAGGCAACTGGCCTTGCACATAGGAGACCCAGGTCCAATTGCCTGCTGTGCCACAGACTCTTGCTTAACCTCAGATAATCATCTTGTAACTCTGGGCCTCATTTCCCTACCTCACCAGTGGGCTGTAAGGACGTATAAATCAAATACTGTGAATAATTTAAAGGGGGGCGGGGGAGCGCTGTACCAGTCCAGTATGGTCTGGTAAATTAGTGTGAATTGTGATTATCAAGAATGTCATGCCCTGCTTTCTGAGACCCAGGCACTCAAAACAAGAGGGAAAGGATGTGGCATGTTTAAGTCAGGTACCAATCAGATAAAGAACAAACGTGAGATTAAGAGTTTGGTTTTGTTTTGTTATTGGTTTGGGCGACATGTGTTTCCACGTTTTACCGTTTTTATTTCATTGCAGAAGTGGACTAATAGATAGTAAACTCAAAACCATTTACTAAGTTATTATATGGGGCTTCAAACTGAACTGTAACATTTCGCGTGAAGCACAGTACTGTAATGACACACAAAGAAATACGACTTGCCAAAAGGAGCTAACTTTTGGCTCAGAAAAGTGGAAGGTATAGTGTAATAAAGCCATAGGCCATCTGGTATACGTAGGTATTTCAGCCTGAAAGGGCAATGTTGCCATATTGTTTTCTATACACTGTGCCTTTATTGTGGTTTCCCTGCATGCTGCAGTGTCAACTGCCATTTTGTATTTCAGTTATAGAGAAAAAAACACTCTCTCTCCCCCTCCACCTTAAGACTTCATATCTGTTTTTGGATTTTACCTAGAAAAACAACAAAATAGATCTTCAGTGTCATCATTCTCGCATCACCCCACAGTGACAGCTGGGGAAAGACTTCCAATCCTCCTACCTGAAATACCTGAGCCAAAGAAAAATCTCCAGTACCTGTCAGCAGTATAAAGCCCGTGTGGTTCTGATTGCATTCAGAAAACTACAGTAGTACTGTATATATGTGCATCCCCACATGTACAAATAGATACTCAGACAGCTATATATGTGAGTATATGAGCATAAACATACATACAAATTATTTACATATTTACATGTATAAAATCACTAGCCAAATTCATTACAATGCACAAATAAAGTGCAGCTGCTTCCTGAGACTGAATTAAAAAGAAGAGGCAAGCCACATGTACCCTGGACTGATGAAACTGTTTCCAGATGTGCCAGCAAGACCAACAAACCGTGATCCATGCAAATCTCTGAGGATGACATTTTTATACAACTGCAAAGAATTGGCGGGATCATTTCATATATAACCTTTGTATCACCATAGCAACCTTTTGACAAACAATAACTAGAACTTGGTAAGATAACTGATAAATTTACTTTGCAGTGGGGATTATTATTCAACCCATTTTCCTGCTGGGAAAACTGAGGCATGGGCAGTTAAATGGCCTGATTTTCAAAAATATTAAACACCATCAGTTCTGATTATTTATTGCCTCTGAAAATCAGGCCTAAATAACTTGCTGAAGGTCAGCAGCTAAGTCAGGAGGAAAACCCAAGAGTCCTGCCAAGCTCTCTGCACTAACCAGTCAACTTAAACGCAGCTGAGAATGGAGCCCAGGTGTCCTGACTTTCAGATCACCAGCAAACACGGCTTGCTTGCTTGCCACTTCGACTTCTTAGTATATGAACTGGATACAAATTTAGGGTGGTGGCAGGGGGAGGAGGCGGAGAAAATGATGGCAGTGACTGGTAAATTCCACTGCATAATTGTCATGAAGCATCAAGGTTTCTGTGCTGTAGATGCAATGCTGCCTCCCGACATGATAACAGCCCCTCCTTAATCATATTAGGGCCAGGT